ACAACTAACCATGGATCAAATAGACTAGATATGATGCATTGTCCTATTGAATACTACAGTCCAATAAGATATAATAGGGATAGTAATTGAAGTACACTTATGAGTGATCACTCTATGATTTAATATAAAAATAATAGTCAATAGAAAAAATAATAAACAATACATAATGAGACCCAACATTAAATTTAAGAAAGGCAATTTATTGATATCTCTCTTAGTCAAAATAAATACAATAGTCTTTTTTAGTGCCATACTTAGAGCAATATAATTTGTGGAAAAAATCCAATCTAAAGGTATCCTATATTTATTTAAAGCAATTCTTCAAACATCCAAGAAGATTCAGAGAGAGATGGCAGCTCATTTTATGTGACTATTCTACAAATGGCTTCATAGATAAGACATAAAGAATGGCTTAATAAAATCCCTCTCTTCTTAAAATGTAGTTATCAAATCAAACAATAGCTTATCATAATCTACAAATTAAATTATTTCAAAGAAATTGCTTCCCACAATTCCACCAACATAGACATATAGAACTCAAATTTAACTCAAGAAATTATCATGAAATCAATAAAACCTACTCCACCAACTTATCTATGAAGATTACAATTCTATCTTGAAACATACAATAATTAAAGTCCTTAAAAAAATAACTTTATTTCACAATTACTTGTAGAATCTTAAACTTAAGATCAAAATTCTTTGCTTTCAATAGCATAAGCTTTAAAAAAATAAGTTACTAGAACTACATAACAGTATCTGACTTAAGCCACCTTCTACTACCAAGAAGTAGCAATAGTATATAATAATAGATGGATAAATGTTGAGATAGAAAACATGGAGATATTTATATAGGTAACACCCTACATTTATCACTTAGTCACTATAATCAAACAATCCAAGTCAAATTGTATCCAATTGATCCACCTTAGTAGTATGAATGGTTTTGATATTCCTATTATTAATGTATATGCATCTTTCTCCTCTTCAAAATATTGCAAGCTTTAGACTAAATTCTGAAAAAAAAAATCTTAGAGATTGTCATTGGCTTCTTGCCAATGATTGGAACTTTGTAGAATATAGGATAAATAAATCTAACATAAATGGATTATTACTCCTAGAGTAAAAAAATAATTCTTTTGTTCCTTAAAACTAGAATTTTAAATAAATGATAGATTTTTGGCATCTAATATCTTGTAATTTAGCTAGAACAATCTTTGTAGAGATGGAATAAGAAGTATAGTAAGGCTCAACAAAATTTATGCCTTTATACAAATAATGGGATACAAATCTAGTGCAACAAGTTACCGCATATTTAGAGATAGTATATTTTTAAATCATTTATTAATATGGCGAGAAGTTTAAGTTATCTTGAGGCTTGCACATCTATTATAATATGTGATGAATGCAAGGTATCTCAATAGCTTAAAGGTTTAGTACAAAATTTGGCATCTTTGGATAGTGTATAGATTTTCTATCTTTTTTAGAAAATTACAAAGATGTGTCAAGTATTATCAATAATATTGTATTTGCAAAGCTATAAGTTGGTATCAAAAGGAAATAGAGCTTTACAATTGATTAGAACTTATAATAATTATCCTTCAATAAAAACTTGGAAGTGTATTGTTATAAGAAAAATTCTATAAATGCACCAAAAAATTGAAAGTAATGGAAAATAAATAATTTGATGGATGAATTTTGAAAAGAAAACTGTAATAAAAATAAATAGATAATAAATATTTATAAAAATTCTTTCAAGTTAATTAAAAAAGATTTAAAACTTTATATATTATGAAACTAGAAGATAATTCAAAATAGAGTCATTTCAATCATATAGCAATGGCATATATTTGCTCCAAATACTATGGTAGATTATATGCCACACAACAATAGACAATAATATCTTATAGAACAGGACACCAAGCATTGGGGTCGATAGTTGACAGCTTGTGTTAGATACAAAAGTCCGGCTATCACTATTCCTCACATTCAATAAGCTTACTTGAGCTTTACCTAAAATAGCCATTGAAAAGTTACTTAAACTTGACGGTATAGTTTTAAAATTTTATATTATATTTTAAAATCTATTAGGCCTTGACTATCTAAAAATGGTCTAATAACGCATCAAAATATGATACTTTCTAATATGGATCTCTAATAGACCAATTGCACTATTACACAAAGGGAAGAGCAAAAAAACACTTATAAATTAGAAACTTATTACCTTCTTAAATAAGGAATATGAAATCTAAGCTAAAGCCTTGAATTAAGGCTTCAATTAGTCTTTATGAGTATCATTAGTCCTGACCAATCAACCTTTCTCTCTTAGAGGTATATTTTAGACAATTTAGTTCTTATACAAGAAAAAACGACATGGGTAGAACAATGAGGTCAACCTCTCTTATTCTTCAAGTTAGCCTTTTCTAAAGTACATGATATGATAGAATGCAATTTCTTATTTATGGCAATGAAGAAATTTGGCTTTCTAAATGAATTTATAAATATAATGTGGCTAATCTTTAGAAATACTTTGGCTTATATTAAGCTTAATGGTTTACTCTCAATTCCCTTCTCTATTAAAAGAGAGATAAGATAAGGATGCCTACTTGCTTCCTACCTCTTTCTTTTAGTGGCAAAGATAATAAATTATGTGATTGAAAAAGACATTGACTATGGCAATATCAAAGGAATCTAACTACCCTTTGATATTGGTAAAGGGGTATTACCACATGAAGAATAAAGTTCAATATGCAGATGACACATCACTTATTCTATTATATGAAGAAGGGCTAATAAGTATTTTCATTTATACACTAGATACATTTTGCTTAACATCAGGTTTAGTATTAAATCAAAAGAAATCTAGTGAATTTTGGAAGTACAAATGTGAAGGTGATAAACCTCTTTGGATTAATAAAATTAGAACATCATGTGCAAAAAAATACTAAATTTAGTAAGTTGTTGGACGCCCCCTTTGGACTCTCACTCCAATCATCTGATGATTGTCAACACAAGGAAGATGGAGGCATCAACTTAATCTACCCAGGAGATGCCGTGGTTGCACTTCTGCTCAAGTGGTGAAGGCTTTAAAGCCCGGACAATCCAACCTTCACGTTTTATTGCGATACAGGTTAATCCAAAGTCAACCATATTCGGGGGGGGGAGTGGAGCCCCAGTCTAGATTTCTTCACTTTACCAAGGCACCAAAGCAAACGTGGCTCCTTAGTATGGAATAGAGTTACTCGTGCATGGAAACAGATAATTCCTTCAATCCAAGCTGTCCCACCAGACCGGTACGAGGAGGTCCTAAATTGTAGCTTGTGGTTCTGCCCATGGATACAGACCATGGGTCTTAGATTTTCCAAAAGAAGAGCAACCGAGCTGCATAAGGCCGGCATGCAATAAGTTCGGGACATATGGGTGATTGACCATTTTCTGCAGCATGAAGAAGTTCAACTGTAAAGGGGTATTACCACATGAAGAAGGGGCATGGCGGGTGCTTACAACAGTACTAGATCGAACGTGGAAGGCGATTCTACTATCACCCTATAGCAGATGCGTGGAAGGGTATTGGCTCGGGGTTTACGACGATGAACATGCAATGCAACCCAAATGGGTATGGCAAGCTTCACTTGCTTTCCGCCCAAACTTGGATTTGATCCACACATGGGCTTTGGCAGAGATTAAAAAAAGTTAAATATCGACCTTCGAGCACATCAATTAATGGAGGTACACGACTCTAACTCAACAAATGCACGAGGGTGAAAGTCGATTGTTCCTGCCAGTAATATGGATTACCGGATTCATCAGACGAGCAAGAGTGGTGTTAGTGCAGAGTAGACAGAAGAAATCCTGCACTAGGTTTTATTACGGAAGAACAGATCAGCTTGACTGGGATCCCAATCGTTTTAAGTGGGGCAACACAATCCCCTTCATGGCATACGCGGCTGCAATGGGGAGAGGATTACTCAAGAAGAAACACATAGTCCCCGAAGTGGTACCGTCCAAGTGGCAAGGAATCATTCAGGCCAATTATAGACTCAAGTGGCTGAATGTGTGGGACAAGGAACGAGGAAGAAAGAAGCCGGCTTGCTCTGGCTCATTTGGCACAGAGCGGTCGCCTTGAATGCTTGGCGAGGACGAGTTAGCAATAGCATTGATCAATGCTCTACCGTCTATATGTGTGGCAAGCGGGAGACCGTGCTGCACCGCTTTTGGGAATGCACTTCAGCACAAAGGGCGTGGAAATGGGGCAATCATATTATGTGCACACTCAGAAGAACCTCCACCACTCGGGACAATGGTAAGTAGTTCGAGCAGGGGAGCGCACCCAAGGCAGGAACGCACTGACCGGAAAGTAAGCATTCCATTGCTCCAGTTTTCACCAACATGGAAACATTGTATCTTTACTCATCGCACGCCGCGACGGTTCAAAAAAGTCAGCAGGTTGTGGTTACTACTAAGAAGCACCGTCACTTAGCTCTTGTGGCTAGAAAGAAATGATGCCGTGTTTAACTGCACCCTAAGGTCAAATGAGAAGATGTTTAATAAAATCTGGTTAAACATGGTTGATTACGGGCGAATAGCATGGATCCACGCCAAGCAAAGTTGCAAGCGCAGACCAGAGACTGAAGTAGTAGTTATAGACACGTTCAAACAATAATGTTGTCAGGCAGTCCTAGCCACGTGGATTGCGGATTTCTGAACCTGGCCGGACCTGGCTGGGTTCCTTTATGTATCATGTTTCAACTGCAATAGAATTACATTCTATTTGAGTAAAAAAATAAATAAAATAAATAAAAAGCACCAAGGGTCCGCTTATAAATGTGATAGTTTGACAAAAGGGTGCTCAGAGACTCCTACGGCTAGAGTTTGGCAACGTGCCAAAGAGCAACACAAGCTTGAAATCTGAATCCACGAGCATGTACTTGGAATCCCATGCATATCCCATTCAACCACGTGAACTGTCCAGCGTTAAGCACACGTATGGTCGCCTTCTATGTTGTTTAGAGTTCAAGTGCTTTTAATGCACCTGTGCAAAAATAAACTAGCTTTATTTCACCGTCACGGTTTTGTCCATTGCGGGCTCCAACGCTTTGGGGAACCTCGTAGGTTTTGAGTCCCACAAACCATGCAATAATAGGACTGGACGCCCAATTCCGTACAATCGTTCATTGAACTCGACAGTTGAATTCCAACATCAAGTTGCGCTAAAGCGACAGGATTTAGGTTCCGCTACATCTACACAAATATCACTGACAAGAATGAATCCTCGGGGTTTAGGATCCCAAGAGCAGCATTGGAGACATCAAAGTTGCTCACCAGTCTGGTTAATATGCAACACTCGTCACTTTTGTGACGATGCTTGATATCGAACACTTCACGAAACCCTACAGTATGCTTCTCAACTCCATAGCCAGATTCGATAATCTGAGTGGCTTTTATAGTTAACCCTTAGTCGTCACCGTCACGGTGTTAGCTAGAGTGAGCATAATTTTTGTGCTCCCAGTGTTGATCCAACGCCAGAACATGTTGACCTCTTCACCCAGGAACACTTCGCAGCCATGGCTCAACTTCTTATGCTACAAATTACATTCCTTTCCCTCCTCTTTCATGAAGATCACAAATATCCGGAAAATTCGTACCTCACCCTGCGACCTTTTCCTTTCTTTTTGAAAGCCCCCCCGGACATGACAGAGAAGTTAATCAAGCAAGTAATCTCTGCAGTTGGGACATGAATTTGCAATGAGCAACGGAAACGACAGCAATGTCTCTCAGGAAAATATAGCCTCAAATATACCACGGCACCCAGATTCCGAGCAGCAAACCTGCGAGGCCCCAAGCTATGGATAATACTAGACATGCCCTTGGTGTGTAGCATGAAACCGAACAACCTCTTTGGGACGGCTCCTGCTCGCGCCGGGGGTTGCAATTGCTGCCGCAGCGGCTGGGTCGACTAAGACGTCACTCGCTGATGTGCACTGGGTTCAACAATTTCTACATCAGTGTTTGCATTCCTCGCATTCCCAGACCTAGAGCTGATTTCCAATGTCGGAGGAGTAAGCGAAGCGTCGGTGTCGCTCTCACTGCAAGTCTCGGCAGGGTGAACACTGCGACGGCAAACGGGGCATGTTGTATGTGAGAGAAGCCATGTATCAATACAAACCAGATGGAATCCGTGTTTGCAGTGCGGAAGCAGCCTGACTTTTTCCCCTTCAACAAATCCGCTCAGACACACCACGCAATCATTTTCCCCCGACGGATCAAATGAGGATTTTATGGAATCAGGGCTGTAAGCTACCACAGGAAGAGCCTCGATGACGCTCTTGTCGAGCCCCTTCTCCCTCTCATTATGATCATCGGATGGCTGCGTCTGTCGTCTACGCAAGAGGCACCTAGCTATGGTATTGATAAAGGCCGCCGCAATTAGCGCAAAGAGCAAAACCCCCATAACCACTACCACGCTGGAATTTAATGACCGAGCGAAGTAGGAGCTTTGTTCTGGGCCAGAATGGTCATGAGACGGTGGATGAGAGGTAGGTGATTGAGGGAAGGTGGTGGCATTTTGAACATTGATGGTGACTCTAGAGAAATCGAAGTGCACGTCGAGTCTTCGGAGGCCGGCCGTCATCGCAAGTTTCACTCGAACACGACGATAAAAGTCAGAGGAATTTGAACACTTGCTTCACCTATACCACACATTTTCAATTGCGTAGGGCCATTTCTCAATCCGAAACCGTCCATAGAGGCGAAGGTATTCAGTATTTGCAGTGCAGTCCCAAAAGAGTGACTTCTTTGATACACAACATAAGCAGACTCATTGCGAGGTCGGGGCCTTGATTTGAATACCTCCCAACGAACGGCCTCGAATCTACGGAAAATACTCCGCCGATAATTGTTAGTTCAATTCTCAGTTTGAGATGTTGATGAATCTACACATCGTGTCAAAACTAACTACATCCTCACGAGTTAGTCGATGGTGTTTGTGACGATGGAGTAAAGATGAAGTGAACCACCTCTTGACGAAACCCGTGAATACACCACGCAAGGAAATTAGCTCAGCACATGAATGAAATCACCAGAAGTTTTGATCGGATGGTTCACTCACCCGGAATTAGTGGTGTGCGCAATTTGACTCCCAACCTCCAGAGCGCAACAAGCTACCTTCGATCTGTGACAATCGGGAACAGGGTAACCTTTCCAGACAAGACATTAATGCTTAGGGCACGGAGCTCGTGCCGACAATCCCAAAGCAGGATGTAAACAAGAAGGTCTAGTACTGAAAGTCGACCGCCAAAACAATCAAGAGCACGAAATCCCTTAGTCGCAAATTCTCCGAAACGACAGTAATTCTAATCGAGAATTTCTGGAAGTCGCTGAACCTGGAGACACAAAGCGAGCTGCCCTGAAACGGTAGTCACATGTAATTTATTCGGAAAATTACGTTGTGACCAACCTCATGCCAAAAGTCTGAAAACCATGCGTATCCAGGTCCAACCTTTAACAGAGTCGGAAGCTGTAGTTTCGAATTTAGCCTCAGACGCGAATTGCTTATAGATTATTACGTCGCGGTGACTATTCCAGAGATAAATTTCATGTGTTTCGCACCCTTGGATTGAAATCGGGATGCATCCAATCAGTTGGGTGCTACTGCAGACGGAGCTGGACAAAGATAACAATGGTAGAGGAATCTGTCAACTTTTTCAATCACAGTGGAATCCAATGATTATCCCCACACGGCCACCGACCGATTTTCATGCAGTAGAGCCATCATTCTCTTCTTCCCCTTCTCCTGATGTACTGTTGCTTGTGATAACTATGAAGGAACATTTTACTTCGTGCAAGATAGACAGTTCTTTTATCTTTACAGCAATGCTTGAACCCCTTTACTTAACGAATATGCCCAAGCTGGCTATTTACGTGCAAAATCCAATGCTCACACCGCTTTTTCGAATGATAGTAGTTTCCAATGATCGCACTGTTGTGAAAGCAGCTTTGTCAGAGACGGTTACTATTCGCAATTGTATCTGTTGCAGAAGTAAAACCATGCGGATCAACGAACTCACTTCCAGATCCGCACATGCCCCTTGCAGTCTTCCCCTACATCCTCGGCTGAACTCCTGGCCGAACATTCCAAGCTTTCGAAAGCGGACTGAAAATAGAAGCTGGAGCCCCCCATAATGATTTCTCCATAATTGGATTGCAAGGCAGAGGAAGATCGAGCTGTTCAAACAGGGCACTTACTCCGGTCAGATTCCTATTGTCACCCTTGATATTTCATCCTTGATATTTGCTCAAAGTACTTTACCAAATCACCCACATTGTTCCAAAACTTGGTTTACAAGCTTCATCTGTCCATCAAAAGTCAAAGACAACTTGATGTCTACTTTTTGAATCTTGAAAAATATTTTTCAAAATTTTGATATAAATTGAGTCTCCTTATTCAATATAATATCTTTAGATAATCCATGATGTGATAGATGTTATCAAGGAAAAGTTTAATTGTTTCTTTACTTGTGATAGATTTTATACATGGTACAAAATATGCCATCTTGGTAAAAAAAAATAACTATCACAAATATAAAATCATAAGAACCTAAGATTAGAAGATTTGTGATAAAGTTCATAGAAAAAAAGACTATGATTGTTTTAGAATAGGTAATGGTTGAAGAAGTCCATAAGGTTAATAATAAGGAATTTTTAATCTTAGACAAATATCTCATTAATGTACAAAGTTTTTGAGTGCATTCTACACTTGAAACTACCAAAAATCTCTCAATATTAATTCTAAAGTCTTGTTGTATTAAAAATGTCTGGTCACTTAAAAATCTTGATGAACTTGAAGAATCTATAATTGTACTTTATATTTTGGAATATAAAATCAACTCTCAAAATATGATAGATTATTTTTAAACTTAAACTTTGAAGTATCATAAGATGTAAAAGGATTATTTTTAATATTATGAATAAGAGGATTAAAGAACATACTTGATTCAACTTGCTTAAAAAAGAGTGAATCAATAATCAATGTTGATTTTATTTTTTAAAGATGAAAATGCTTTGACTTCAAGAAAATCGTTCTTTGTTGATCAAAATTTGCATTTTTTTTTTGTGCAAGATAAGAACATCTAAAAAAGATGTCTAACAAATCTCATTGTTTTTTGGATTGATAAGTAATCTTAAAATCAAATCTTGATAAAGACATGTTCTAAAAAACTTGTTGAGATGAAGTATTTAAGGTTCTTGTGATCCAAATACTTAGTGACTAGACTAGAAGCACCTTCTATATAATAACTCCATATTATAGACATATATAATTATTTCAATAATTACTTATATGATGAAGTAAAAGTAGGTAAAAATAGATGAATTTCATAATATCTTCTAGAGCATCTTTTTAGAAGCTTCATAGACATTGCTTGGACTTTACACATGTTTGTAGGCTAGAAACTTAGTCAACAAGTTAGTCATATCTCATATGTATTGATAGCTTGTGGAACAAGTTAATTATGTAGCATATATATAGAAAACTTACCTTACAAGTTAAAACATGTGTCTAATAAAGTCAACACATGTTAAAGGTCTTATAGAACATTGCTACACAACTCTTAATTAGATAGTATATATGGAGGTAAAAAAGAAGCCTTCTTTATTCTTATCAATGTCTTTTTAGTTTTTAGTCTTATTTCAAGACTTTCTAGTCTTCTTGTCTTTGATAAAAGCCATTCTAATTCAATATATTACCATCTTTGAATAATTTTTTATTCTTTTTGAGTCACATAAGAATGTATTGAGATCTTCTTTTTTTAAAATTCATATCTTTAATAATTTTACAAGAGTATTAACTTATTATTCTTGTATTTTTTAGAAGTAAGTAGATTATTCCAATTTTATTGTTTTATTTTGAAGGTTGCAAATTACCTACCTTTAAACAAATAGTTTAGTTTTTTAACACTAATTTTTTCATTAAAAAGAGTAGATTATCTCTTTTTTTGGAAATTTTCATTTGATATTAGAAGTTACAAATAACCTTCTTCTAATTTAATTTTTTGAATTTATTTAAATTATCTATAAAAAAAAATTATTAATACTAATCTTAGTAAAAGTGAGAATAAATTTGTAGCTATTGCAAATCTTCACAAGCTTATCAACACTTTTAGGATAAAAAAACTTATTCATTTAAGCTTATTTTAATAAAGAGAACTAAAATTGTACATATAAAAGTCATAGATGTTGTTCATTATCTTTTGGAGATATTATTCATAAGATTGTTCTTTTAGATATAAGAATTAAAGTTCATAATATTGTAGTAATATTTAATATAATAAGATCTCCTTCTAATTTAATTAATTTAGGATTATTATGATTAAAAAAAAAATTAAATAGATTGGATTTTTCATAATCTTAATTTTTCTTATAGTTTAATCTAAAATTTTATTAGTTAAGTAGAAATATATAAATCTAATATATCCGAATCTTTATTAATAGGTGTAAGAACTTTCATGTATGTAGAAAAAGAAGAATCATCTTTTGATATATATGCCATACCTATTTTAGATGGTAAAAAGATATTAAGTAGTATTTTTAGTCAATATCAAGATTATTAAGATATTTTTGAAAAAAAAAAATATAAATATTCTTCTATAATATTGTCCTTATAATTATTCCATTGATCTTCAAAAACAAGCTCAACTACCATTTGGACCAATCTACACCCTATCACTAAACGAATTGGTTGCATTCAAGGAATATATCAATGAAAATTTGGCTAATAACTTCATATGCCATTCTAAATTTCAAGTTGGAACTCTCATCTTATTTGTGAAGAAAAATGATAGGTCTCTATGAATGTGTATGGACTATCAAAGAATCAACAAGATCACTATCAAGAATAGGTATCTTCTATCTTTAATTTTAGGACTTTTTAATTAATTAAATCAAATGAAGATCTATACAAAAATAGATCTATAAGGAGCATAAAACCTAGTATGCATTAAAAAAAGAGATGAATGAAAAACTACATTTTGAATTAGATATAGACATTTCAAATATAATATCATGCTTTTTAGATCCATGAATACATTAGCTACTTTTTAACATCTAATGAATGATTTCTTTTATGAATTTTTTGATAATTTTTTTATTTTTAAGTTAAAAAAATATTTTAATCTATTCTAAGAGTATAAAAGAGTATAAATTTCATATTTTTCATTTATTTTAAAAACTAAGAAATATAGGATTATATGCCAAGATAAAAAAGTATATATTTTATACTACTCAAGTTGACTTTTTGAAATATATCATTTCAAATAATGGTCTTATTATGGATTCTAAGTATGTCTAGATTATTACAGATTGGAAGATATCAAATATAATGAGAGATATATAATATTTTTTGAAATTTACCAATTATTATTAAATCTTCATCAAGAATTTTTTTCAAGTTACAACTTTTCTTACACATTGGACATGTATAGACAAACTTGAAAGGAACAAGTTCCAAAAGGAGAAAGGCATTTACATGTTCTTCAAGCATGTCATAACTTTCCAACTACAAGATATTTTAAATACAACAAGACTTTAGAGCTTATATCTAAAGATTTTTAGTACGTACAAATGTGAAAGGCTATGAAAGACTTTGTACAGTCATGTGACCTTTGTTCAAGATTTAAAACTCCTTATCAACTATTCTATGGATTTTTTCAATCATTACCTATATTGGAACAACATTTGGTCTTCTATTTCTATGGATTTTATTATGGATCTTCTAAATTAAAGTTCATATGACTTTAGATTTGTAATCATAGATAACTTCACTAAAATGGTACATTTTATACCATATAAAATATCTATTTTAAGCAAAGAAATAGCTAAGTTTTTCTTTAATAATATCTATTGCTATTATATATTACCAAAGAATATTATATTAGATAGAAGGACATAATTTGTATCAAGATTTTGAAGATTTTTTTTTTAAGATATTGAAAGTAGATATAAAATTATCTTTGGCCTTTCATCTTGAAACTAATATGCAAATAGAATGGATGAATTAAGTTCTAGAGGAATATTTGAGGTGTACAATCAATTATTATTAAGATAATTAGATAACTCTTTTTCTATTATTAAAGTTAGTATACAATAATTTGATATATTTTTCTATTTAATAAAACTTTTTTTTTGTCAATTATGGTTATCATCCAAGACTTGATATTTTTAACTTTTTAAAAGTTAATAATTCCACAGCAAAAGATTTAGAAATTTTTTTGTGAGAGTTATATGCAACAATAAAGACATAGTTAAAAAGAAGTTCTAGAATAATAAAAGATCAATATAGATGCATGTTGCAAGGAACAACCACAATTCAATATTGGTAATAAGGTATGGTTACTTCATCACAATATCAAGACTAGTCATCATTGTCATAAGTTGGACTATCATAGGCTTCACTCTTTTTTTATTTATAAATAAGTCAATCTTATTGCTTATTGATTACATCTACTATTATTATATAGTAACACAATCATTTGGTGAAAAAAAG